GGTGACGCGCTCGGGCTCGTCCGTGTCGCTGAAAGTTTGAGCCCCCCGGGCCGCTGCGGGGTCCGCTCCCGAACTCTGCGCCCCTGCCCTCTCCCCTGGAGCCTTACCCTCGCCCTTGGAGCCCTACTCTCGCCCTTGGAGCCTCATCCTCCCCCTTGGAGCCCCGGCCTTCTGTGACAGGTGCGGCATCCCACCGGGAGCAGCCCGCTCCCCAAACGCGCTGTGTCGGCGCCGGGGAACGGCGTTGGAGCGAGGATCGGCTGTTCCTCGAACACCAACACGAGGTGGAGTGATAAAAACATCAGACACTAGAATTCACATCCATTAATGCCAGAATGGTGAATATTCTCCCGAGAGCACAGCACCCACTGAACAACCCCATCAACCCCGCTGTTCCCGGCTCTATCCACGTGCCACAGTTAACCCCGCTTTTCAGAGAGGTGACACCAACACGGATTAAAAATTCAAGCAACCTTGAGTCATTGTATCCTACAAGGCAACTTTTCAAAAGGTAAGAATAACCCCGCTCACCCCCGAGCCATAATTAAAAACAAAACAAAAAAAAAAATTAAAATAAAAAAATCAATGCCATGGAAACAAACCTAAAATTGCTTTGGAGGATTTGGAGCTTTAATTTAGTCCTAGCTGCACATGAAATCTTTTATGGCTTCTACATTCAGAGCCAGGACCCTGCTACAAGCCTGGAGAAGAGTGACAGGCACACAACTCCCTAAAATACCGTGGTCAGTCCATCATCCACACTCAGCTTCATTATTCTGCTAAGAAGGTGAAAAGATGTGAATGGTCTGGGTGACATGAAGCTGGAAGTACCTTACAAATTGCTGAAAACCAGCTTTTGGCTGGCACTGAGGGGAAGCTTAGCCCAACACCTGCAGCTTTGGGGGTTCTTCAGGGGTATTTTGGCACATGGCAAGCACAAGTTTTGTTTCCAGAGCTGACAACTCGGATGTTTTCTCTAGATCAATAAAAGCACTTTTTATTAAACAAATAAATAAACACCACCTCAGCTTTGCAGAGCAGTTTACCAAAAAGGGAAACCACATGGCCTGAACTGTCAGGAGCAGAAATATTTGTGCAAACAGAAAACTGCCTGCTGCTTATTCTGAAGCAGCCTGGGCTGGACAGCCATTCCTGTTGTCCTTCATTACCCAGTGCTCCCACTGAAGTCAGGTTGGTGCATTGCACAGAAACAGCAAGATCTATTTTAATTATAAAATAGCTTGGAAAAAGCTGGATTTAAAGACATTTGGCACATGGCTATTACATATGATCCTATTGCAAAAAAACCAAAATAATTATACTCTTAGGATCTTAAAAAAAAAAGAATACAGGAATGTGAAGCAGCTCCTTGCTGAAGGACAAGGGAAGTATTTTGCCCCCACTTTCTCCAAGAAAGGAGCAGAACTAAGTCCCCAAAGGAAGCAGGGAGGGAGGGAGGGAGGAAGCCACAACTCTCTTTAGGGTGACAGCCACAGGACACCTGGCACTGTGAGTGTGTGTGGGTCCAGGGAGGGCAGCGAGGCAGGAGAAAAGGAATAGGCACAAAAAAATGCAAGGGAAAAATATGCTGTGTGGGAAACAGCATGAGAGCTAAAAATTAAAAATACACATAATATCCCCCTGCCCTGTCTGGAAGGATTAGGTTCAAACACCTCCCCAGGTGCCTGTTTTTGTTGCTGCTTTTCTTCCTGTTAAGGGAGAGCCAAACACCTCCCCTAAAGCGACACGGGGGAGAGCAGAGCACTTCACACAACACACAGTGAGGATCAAAAAGTCCCCTGAATCAGAGAATCCCAGAATGAAAAAGGTTGGAAAAGACCTCCAAGACTATCAACCCAGCACCACCATATTCACCACCTCAAGTGCCACATCCACATGTCTCTGAACACTTCCAGGGATGGGGACTCCACCCCTGCCCTGGGCAGCTGTGCCAGTGCTTAACAATCCTTTCAGAGAAGAAAATTTTCCAGATATCCAACCTGGACCTCCCCTGGCAGGACTCAAGGCCGTTGGATCGTGTCCTGTCCTGAGGATGGACACCGACGGGGTCAGGCTGCAGGAGACCTGACAAAGTTGTGCTTTGTGGCATCCAAGTCCCCAGAGCAGCTCCCCACGTGCCCTGGAGCATGAATTCCCTGTGAGCCTTGCACCACCACAAGACTGAACTAAACTTCAACAGCAAATACAAACTGTAGTTTTGCACCTTTGCTACAAACATGAAAAGGTTCACCAAGACCCCACTCTCAAGTCAGGGTTCAACCAAGGACTAGCTCAGCCTCCACTGGAGGACCTGGACTTTCTATCTTCTTTTTTTTTTCCTCATTTTTTTCCATTTTCACTACATTCCTACCAAAAAAAGGCACGAAACATTGTTACTAAATAGAGAAGAAGAACTAAAGGATATTTCTCAGTATAGAGGAGGGAAGATCAGTTTGCATGTCTAATAGAAAAATTCTATTTTTGCCCATTCCAGTGGAGTTCTATGAACAGCACACACACACTTTTCAAGTGCTAGCCAAAATAATTACTTCTTTCCTTCTGTGGGGAGAAAAAAAAATCCCTAAATCATGAATATTCAATGGATTGGTTAATGACATAGTAATGCTTTAGCTCAAATCTCTGCTCCTTAAAATACAGACAACACAAGCTGCCAGTTACAAGAAGACTTAAAAACACAAGAATAACTTGATTTCCAGAAGTGATCTCAGCCTGATCACTTTGCAAGCATCTGATGGTGGCATGATACCATGACATATCTGGGGCAGACTCTCCTCACATTCTGGGAGATGTAAAACAGGCAGGAAAAAATAGCTTTTGCTACTTACTGGAGCCAGTGCCAGTGCTGTGTGTTCTCCAGAGCACAGGGCAAAGGTGCCTTCCCTCAGCTCCACCAGATGTTTGAGTCTTTTAGGTAAATTTGCTTGAATTGCATAAATCTGTGACTAAATCCCTGTATGAAAGCTGGGATCTGCACGAGGAAAAAACCCCAAAAAATAGACTTCCCCCCCTCCCCAAAAGGTTCAACTTAAAGCCATGAGTTGTTTCCTCCAAATCTTAGAGTTCTGGCTGGGGTGTTGTTAGTGGGTTATTTCTTTGTTTGCAGGCAGTGCTCAGGAGTTGCTCATCCTCCCTTTTCTCCCTCAGACTCTTAGGGATTCCTGATTATTCAGCTTCACTTTGTTACTTTGCTGCCCAAAACCACCTCTGAGAAAGTCCAAACCCCATCAGGGAGGTGAATTTTAGCCTCCGTATTGTCCATGGGCTCCTTCCTTGGTTTTCCCACTTGGTTTTCCCCTTGGTTTTCTCCCTGCAAGGGTCCCCAACATCCCTGAATTCCTCTGTGCCCTCCATCCCTTGGCCATGGGAGGCCTGGGCTGGAGAAATGAGTAAATGCTTGCAACAAAAGCTATCTTTTGTTTTCAGAAGCTGATATTAAGAAGTTGATGGCACATTGTCTGCTCTCTCTGCCATTTTTGACAGTACTTTAGGCACATATTTACCATCAGGGAGTGAACCCTTTATCTCCAGCCTTCACTTTCCCCCACTATGGGAACAGCCAACGCACAAAAGTAACTTTCTCCAGTTTTATCTTCAAAGTTGGGAACATATTTAGTTCTGTGTTCCAATAACTCTATTCATATTTCATGAATTTTTAAGTTCAGGCCGTGAGTGTGGACAGCTCATCACTGACACATCAGGGAAATGCTGGGAAAAAACAAGCAACTTATTGTGCTTTTAGCTGATGAGATTGCTTTATGGCTCCCTCAAGGATATTAAAAAGATCTTTGCATTGGTTATCAATAAAGATCTTTCAGGATCAGCATTTATAAACCTTCTAGAATGGCCTCAACTCTTGATTGAGTTCAGAAATGAAGGAACTTACTCAGAAAAAGCAGAATCAGAGCTTAAGGCTCAACTGTTCTTTAGTTTTGCTGCTTTGACTTCAATATTCAGCTTGATGAGCAGGAACTGATTCTTAAATCATTTTATAATTAGAGCTTTTTTGAAAAGTTTTGGCTTCTTTCTTGAAAAACAGGGGAAGGGAGAAGAGCAGGTTCATTGAAATTTTGAAAGATTATTGAAAAAATCAGAAAACCCATTTTAAATATTGACTTTTTGTGTGACTAGAAAATAAATTCTCACTTATTTATTTTTATTGCAGAAGATACTTATACAGCCTATCACATTTCAACCCCTAATCACCATCTCATATTCTCTCAGAACATCTCAGCTGAGCCAGGGAATACTGTTCCTTTGGGTTACAGGGGCAAAGAGGTACCTGAAGACCTTCGAAAAAATCACAGAATCATGGAATGGTTTGGGTTGGAAGGCACCTTAAAGCCCATCCAATCCCACCCCCTGCCATGGGCAGGGACACCTTCCACTGCCCCAGGTTGCTCCAAGCCCCGTCCAACCTGGCCTTGGCACCTCACGGATCCAGGGGCAGCCACAGCTTCTCTGGGCAGCCTGTGCCAGGGCCCACCACCCTCATAGCCAACAATTCCTTCTCAATATTCCATCTAACCCTGCTCTCTTTCAGGATGAAGCCATTTCCCCAGGTTTTCAAAGCAGGTTTTAAATTCCCAGGGAATCCAAGAGCTGACAAAAACGGCCTGGCCAGGACCAAACCAAGAGCCTTTGGGACAAGAGGTCAGTTTGCCACCAGCCTCTTAAGTTCAAAGCTGACCCAGGGGCCCCTTCAGCAGCACTGCAGTGTGTCCATGCCAGTGGGAAGCTGGGAAATGCAGAAAAATCCCAAAGTCAATTTGCAACATATCCCTGTTCCTATTAACGTGGGGATGCCTTAGGTTGGATCTCAGCCAAAGGTTCTTCCCCCAGAGGCTGGGTGGGCACTGCCAGGTTCCCCAGGGCAGTTGGGCACAGGCCCCAAGGCTGCCAGAGCTCAGGGAGGGTTTGGCTGATCCTCTGGGGCACAGGGGGTGACTCTTGGGGCTGGGCCTGTGCAGGGCTGAGGGTTGGACTGATGATCCTTGGGGGTCCCTTCCAGCTCAGCACATCCTGGGATTCTGTGACCGTCAGAACTGCAGATCTGATGGTGCACCCAAGACACAACCAGAAATCAATTTGTTTGGATGTTTGGAAACACCTCTCAGGGTTTAATTATCTCAGTAAAAGCCTGGTCTTGCTTCCTGTAGCAATCTGCCTCT